ACCAATGAAGCACAATACCATTCTCTAGCCACATTTATCAACAAGTCTAATCATAACAATAACCATGATATCCACCATAACAATCCCACATGATGATTAACATTTCCACTTCATCCATCACATAATTCATCACGTTTCCCACATAAAATCGCATTTCATAGTGTGTAACATAATTAAGAATTAACAAAGTACACATTATTCTCTAGAAATATTAATCAACTAAAATACTCATGATAACCACACTCATATCCAATGTCATTCCATAATCACATCAATCAATAATGACAACCATCACACCATCAATAACACATACAACATGTCGAAATGCAAGGCTAGAGCAACACAATTCGGTTGAAGACTACATCATTGGAAAAAGGGGATTTTGGACCACCCAACGAACCAAGGCACCAAAGGGGATTCCGGACCATTACTCGATGGAATCCAAACAGAACTCAATTCCAAACCACCCCAACTGAATTAAACGAAAGTCCAAGAAGCATAACAACAGCTCGAAGAAACAAGACATGATTCAAGTTACCCAATTCACGAAAACTTGACGAAACGAAGCAATATCGAGCACAAATCCACATCACAATGGGTTATCATTCAATTACTAGACCTCACATCTCCCAAGCAATTCAATATGCATTTCAATCACATGTCATAACCATTTCCAATACACAAGTCAAATCACATTTCACTTCATCATACCAATCACTATACTTCCAACATTATATCTCAATACATAGCTTGTAACATATCAAGGAATCACGAAGCACAATATTAATATTTAGTTATGTTAATCAATCAGTGAGATAACATATCATTTCACGAATTTAATTAAAGAACTCTTCATAATTCTCAACTTGGGTTATGAATAATAACATGGTAATTCTAATTTATTTTCACAATATCTATTGTGGGTAATTCTCATCTACTCGAATTTAGGATTCTAAGATCACCTTACGGAATGAACAAGAGCAAGGGTTCCGGACCACTTAACGGAATCCAACAACATTGGGTTCCGGACCACTCAACGGAACCAAAATATCAAGCGGTTTCTCATAATCTACCCAGACCTATCATATGTAAAGTCAATGCCAATATTATGGAATTGGTGCACTGGCAAATTAGGCACTCAGATAAGCTGAGAGGCTCGGGTGAGAGACAATAAAATAAGCATGTGATACAATAATAAAACCAGCCATCAATCATCATTTATAAACCTTGAATATAAATCTTTCATAAGAAATCAATACCAAACTTTTGAAAACTCCAAGGGAGTCACCCAGACATCCAAGATTTCATTTCAAACAACCATAGCATCTCACACCCATATTCACATACACACAATGAAACTAGAATTAGGGCGACACAGTTCATCCAAAGCCTACACCTTTGCAACCATCTCAAACTAAACTCAATGAACTAAGGTGGATACAATCCCAGATCATCACTCAACGGGATCGCGGAGTAAGAGGGATTCCGGACCATCACTCAATGGAACCCAAACCAAGATACGATTCCTGACCATCACTCAATGGAATCGCGGAGTGGAGTAGGAAGGATTCTGGACCATCACTCAACGGAATCCAAACCAGGATACGATTTCAGACCATCACTCAACGGAATCACGGAGTACATTGCATAACCACCAATCAATGAAACAACATATGAATCAAGTTACTCAAGTTATAAAGGCTCAACGATACAAGAAATGAAATAATGAAATGAGCATTGACACATGTTTCAAAGCAACAAACCCCATGGCAATGGGTTAACGGTCCACCACTAGCCCTCACCCTCATCAAATCAAGCCACTCATACAAAACATACCATATTTCCAATATGCACGTCAAATCACATATCACGATCATCATCAGTACACAAGCCAAATCATGTTTAATAAACATAGGTCTAAGGCTAAATATATATATATATATATATATATATATATAATCATATTTCAATAGAATCACATTATAAGACCAAGTTAAATTCACAGATGATACCAATATAAGAAATCAAGGTAATAACCATATCACATATGTTCAAGTCACTCTCTAACCAATGTAGGCCCACTAGACTTCACTTAAGTCTCCCATAGTACTAATTTTATTATTTAGAACATTCCGAGACATGTTGACCATAATTCAACTCTCGGTCAACGATGGGGTCCACAACGATCCGCAAATCAGATTTATGATCCATAACTTCCCAAAGTCCACATTATGCTTCGAGAATAACATACTAAAGTTTCATTATGATCCAATGGTCGGATTGTCGTCAATCACACAAACAAGTGGCGGTCCAAATTGATCACCACACCAAACAATTGAATCTTTGGAAACCGAGCTAGAAATAGGTTCACATGGTCACTATAAGGTATTTGAAACCTAGACAACACTCGTGAACGATCGCACGCACCGCCACACGCAGTGGAAGTCAAGATGGAGGGTTTAGAAACCCCGAATTTTCAACATTAACTAGATGAGCTCAAATTTACGTGGTAGCTAGAGCTCAACAAGGGAAACACTTTTCACAACTAGGCCGACGATAAATTCTAACCGGAAACCGTCCAATTTCACTGGAGAAAACCGGATTTCTAACGTTCTAAACATCCAACTCTAAAATGAATACGAAAGCACAAACTAAGGCCTGGTTTGGTACTGAGGTGATTCTGAAAAAAGCTGGGAGCTATTTTTGTGTTTGGTAAACATTCAGCTTCAGCTTTTTTTTCATAGTTTTGGGTAAAAAAAAGCCAAAAACAAGAAGCTGCAAAATCCAGCTTTAAAAAACCGGCTTTTTTTCACATCTGTTTTACATAAAAGTTTACCAAACACTATAATACTACTTTTTTTTTTCTTTCAAAAGCACTTTTACAAAAAAGTTTACAAACACAATGCTGCTTATTCTCACAACACAACAGAAGCAGCTTTTTTTCGAAGCACAGCAATACCAAACCAGCCCTAGGCATACCCACCTGAAGATTATGAAGAGTAGATGAAGTTTCATACCTCACTCGAAGGAAATCATTGCCGAAATCGTCGGAAAAATGATAAAACCGCCGGAAAAGTCGTGGGCTTTGCAACCTTGAACTGCAAATATGGAAAAGAAATGGGGAAATCTAACATACAGAGATGTAGGGATCGTCAAGAGCTTTCCATGGACACCAAGATCACCCAAAACGAAGCTCGGATGAAGAAGATACAAGCGGGTCAAGTTTGGTGGGTTTATGGGTCCAATTCTCCCTAAAACGGGTTAGGCAGCTCCCGCTTTCCATTTTCTAAAACCTCCCCCTTTTCTGGAGGTTTCACTCCAATTATAGCATTTTGGTAAAATTACCAAAATGCCACCAATTTCAAACGACTCTAACTTCTCCGTTCGGATTCGGAAATAAGATCTGTTTACGCCTACGCGCTCATGGAATCGAACTCTACCTAACCAATTCAAGAGTTGACCGAAAAGGTCGAGAAAATTGAAAATGACTAAAGTACCCCTCACTTCATTTTTCTTAAATTTGGAGAAATAAAGAACTAGTTCCAATCAAATCTTCGAAATACGTCAAGAATAAAATAAAATAATAATTTTGGGGACGGGATATCACATTATGTCTACAAAACATAGCTCGTCATGTATCAACAACTTATTCTCATTAGAGCAAATTTTATAAAGGAAACCAAACTGAACTAAATCGGTCACCTAGTTGGAATCACCAATTAATAGGTTATTGTGCCCATTTATAGAGCTAACTTTGAGGTAGGGGTGGTAGTGGGTCGTGTCGAGTTACTAATCATTTGGGACATTAAATGACTCCTAAAAATGAAATCACTCCTTATTCCTACAATTATATTTTTAATATATATATATATATATATATATATAACTTTTAAAAACAAGATATTTATTATTGACATTCTAAAAATCTAATTATGCACTTTAAATTTTTTATTTAGAAAGATAAACACTCTTACGAAAAGTACATAATTAAATTTTAAAGTGCCAATAATAGATCTCAAAAAGAAAATAAGAAGAAAAAGTTTATAATGCACATTCACAAAAACGCTTTTTAGCTAAAATGATCTTTAAGAATGTCATATCTTCTCATTTTGGTATTTGAGATTTGAAATCGATACCTGAGTTTGTCCATCATCAATCATTTTGGTCATTTTATGAAAACTATGTTAAGTAAGGACTAAAATGATAAAAATACTCTTAATTTAATAAACAATGGGTTCAAAATGATTTAACAAGAATTGAGGATATTTTTGTCATGTTATCCTTATTTAATGGAATAATCAAAATGATTGTTAGTGGACAATCTCAGGATCATTTTTGTCGATTTCAAATCTCAGGAACCAAAGTGAAGAGGTATGTCAATATCATAGACTATTCAAATAAAAATAAATAAAAAATTAAAAAAAAAACCCTTAAAAATGATTAGCAAGAATAGTACAGGCCTAATGGGTAAAAGGGAATATACTACAAGCCCAATAGACCTAACGGACCAAAAATAGGAAAAACTAAAGAGAGTTTTAATAAAAAGTTCACGGTACTGTTCATTTTAACGAGAAACCACATTTTTACACTAAAAAGTCAATCTTGATACTATTCACTTTACCCTTTATTTTTTCTTTATCATTAAAACTCAAATTTTCAAGCTCTTTTCATTAGTTTTTCTAAAACTAAAATGGACCGACAGTACCTGCCAATCAACTGCTTATGCTGTTTCAGCAAAAATAATATAATGATCAATTTCTCCCAAAAACAAATAAGTATAATTGGAGTTGTGCATCTACACGTTGTCTCATCTCATTGAGAGTTTTTCTCCCATGTCCAAAATATAAGGTAGTAAATTAGCAACTTAAACAATAAAACTTCCGTCCACTCCTATAATGACACGTAGTATTGCTAATACGGGCCCATAATGAAAAATTTCTCGATTTCATTGCTGACCCGCCACAACCATTACGTATTGTCTTTTGAACATCATCGCTATCCAAAATAATTCCCTCCTCCTTATCCAACGACCTGTTCGACCTCCGAGCTCCCAATTTTCCTCCTCACCACCATGACAGTTCCGCCGTATCAGGGTAAAATATTCAGCTATTTGATTAATTTTTATTGGGTTTTAGTTCAATTTTTTTTAGTTTTTATTTTATGAATTTTTAACGATCAGAAATGATGGGTTGAACAATTCTATTTTTTTTAACAAATTACAGTCATATGGGATCTCTTAGAACTTGAAAAGATCATAAGTTTGATGGAAATTATACTGAAATTTCGATTTTTTTATTTTGTGGGTTAATTCTTGAGTTAGCATTTGGAATTAAGCTCTTGGTTTGAACTTGAAGCTTCTGGTTGTTGATTTGGGTATTCTGCAATTGTTATGGGAAAGCGAGGAAATGCATGCAAATGGGTTTGGGAAAATGACTTTTCTTTGGCATTCGCTTTTGGCTTTCATCCTCTCTGTGTATGTCTTCACCGGATGAGCTTTGTTTTCCTTTTTTTATCTTATTGATTTTTTCCCCCATTTGGGCTAAATAGTTCTCAAACTTCCGAGCGATTATCGATAATCGTTGTTGTTGTGTCAACGACTTACTAAAACACCAATTCTCCATAGCCAGAGCACTATTAGATGACGCTTTTCGAAAAAAATAATTGGGATAGACAGGGCAGGGCTCACAAGGAAATTTGAGCTTTTGTCAGATAAAATATTTTTTTTTTTTTTGGAATTATTATTGGTACTCCAAAAATTTCATTCTACACTCCATAATTTTTATATTTGGAAAAAAAAATACACTTGTGAGGAGTGTAGAATAAGATTTTTGAAGTGCCATTAACACTTTCAGTTTTTTTTTTTTAATTCATGTTAATTTGCAGTAATTTATTTTATTTAATTTGGTTTTTATTTCTTTTGTTGTTGTTTTATGATTATGGGGGTTTTGTTTTCAGACTCGAACGCCGTTTGTCTTCTGAAGTCCTCTGTAATCAAGGTAAGCAATTTGAAAATTTTGGCGCATTGAAATCAAAGTTTCAATTTACACATTTGTTTAGATTTGACTTTATTGAAGCAAATTTGTGCATATTTTCCGTCAGCTTTTTCTTCTGTTACTTTGGATAGGTCCTGTTGTCCAGATTTTGAGCATCTTCTTTTGGAAGTGATTAATAGCTACTGTGACAGGTTAGTTTTATACTCTTTTTTTTTTAAAAAAAAAAAGTTATGCATGGTATTTAAATGTTATAGCATTTTGAAATTCTTGCTTTTGTGGTTGTGATATAATATTATGTATTTGCTTAAATTTTTTAAATTTAATTTCATTATTTTCTTCCCAGCTATCAATCTATAGTTTGGCATTTACTATTTTTTTGCACATGATGCGAAAAAGAACTAGAAATAGCAAAAGAAATTAGGGAATACAAGAAGATCATACTTCTCACACTGCAAATGGAATAGAAATGTTTAATGAAAATGTTTGCCATGCTGATGGTGCACATATGTTGCCTGAAAGCTCTTCCAAACAAAGTTTGGTGATGCAACAAGGGTGTGACTCTCGCACTTCTGATATAGTTGGCCTTAAAAAAAAAAATTCCTCAAGCCCAAACAAAAGACAATTGAACACGTATCCTGTAGCGATTTGAAAACAATTGAAATAACTGCAGAGGGTTTTATGTTCTAATTTATGGGTTTTGGTCAAAAGCACTGTTCTAAAAATCCTCACCTAGCGCTAAGGGTTTTATGTTCTAATTTATGGGTTTTGGTCAAAAGCACTGTTCTAAAAATCCCCACCTAGCCCGGCCTCGGCGCTAGACAGTTGGCCATCGTCCCGATTAATGCCTAGGCGTTTGAAAATTAATAAAGGGCACCTAAACCTACTGAGGTGCCCGCCTAGGCATCCGCCTAGCCTGCCCAGACTCGCCTAGACACCCGCCTAGGTTGCGACTCGCTTAAACAGAAAATGGATAACTTTCATTTTGCATTATATTTTTTCAATAAATTATAAAAAACTTGCTGAATACTTAAAGGAACACGCATTATATACTTGTTCCCCATGCTTTTATTATGTTCCAATAGCTCATAATATATATGTCATTCCATTTGGTAGTTTATGATGAAATCATATATATTTTAAGTATAAACAGACACTTGTTTACACCAAAGTGAAGAGGTGTGTCAATTTCAAATCTCAGAAACCAAAGTGAATAGGTGTGTCAATTTCAAAGACCATTTAGATTAAAAAAAAAAAAAGAAAAAGGTTTTTGAATTTTAATCCTTGAAGAAGATTAAAATTCAATAAAAACCTGGTGTTAGATTGAATATTGATTTTAGTCTTCTAATGTGTACTTAATTCAAATTTATATTATATTTTTATTTTAATATTTAATAGATATCTTATTTAATGTCATTACATTAAAATTAAAATTAATTTCGTTTTAATTCATTATATTTATTTTACTTCTTCTAATCAGTGTACCTAAACATCCGTATCATAATATATTTTACTAAATTAGTGTACTGAAATATTCGTACCTAAATATATTGTAATGAATTAGTGGCACATAAGAAAATATACAAAAACATAAGCGTACCGAAAAATTCCGTACCTAAATATATGATACTAAACTAGTGTACCAAAATGTCAGTACCGAAATATATTATAATAAACTAGTGTAGCAAAATATCCGTATCTAAACATATTATACTAACCTAGTGTACCAAAATGTTCGTACCTAAATATATTGTAACGAATTAGTGGCACATAACAAAATATGCAAAAACATGTGTACTGAAAAATCCTTACGAAAACATTTTCTTATATAAGATACTTACCATAATGAGAATTAAAATTTATAATATTTTCATAAAATTTAATTAATGAACACCATAAAATTATAAATAAAGATGAGAGACATTTAATATGCTGACATTAAATAGAGTCTAGGGACTAAAATCAAATTTTAGTCTTGTATAAGATATTTTTCTAAACTTCATCTTATTTAAGGATTAAAATCTGATTTTCTATAAAAAAAAATTAAAAAAAAAACCCTTAAAAATGATTAGCAAGAGTACAGGCCAAATGGGTAAAAAGGAATATACTACAAGCCCAATAAACCTAATGGACCAAAAATAGGAAAAACTAAAATGGACCGACAGTGCCCGTCAATCAACTGCTTATGCTATTTCAGCAACAATACTATAATGGATTTCGATCCTCTCCTGAGCTCAGGGGTTGAGCCTCCTAAGCAAAGCACGTGGGCCGTTGGATCATCCAACAGTTACAAATAGGGGATACCTCTAAAAATTATAATAATTGTAGTCGTTGGATCAAAATCTAATGATCCGCGTGCTTTGCTCAGGAGGCTCAACCCCCTGAGCTCAGGAGATGATCCAAATCCAACTATAACGACCAATTTTTCTGAAAATATTTTTTATAAAAATATTTAAGAAATTAATCTTTGTAAAAATACTAATGAATTATGAAAAAAACACTTAGAGTGTTTTTTACAAGAAAGTATCACTAGTGTTTCTTGCTTGATGTACTTAAGTACTTTTAAAATTCAGAAACATTTTATCTAAAAGACATTCAAGTCATTTTAAAAAACTTTCAATCCAAATGAGTAGTCTTTGCCTGGAGTTGTGCGTCTACACGTCTGTCTCATCTCATTGAGAGATTTTTTAGTATGTCCAAAACATGAGATCGTACATCATGCGTCATTATACAAATAACGGGACACTTGTGCTAAAATTAGCAGCCTAAATAATAAAACTTTCGTCCACTCATACAGTACGTGGTATAGCTAATACGGGCACAAAATGAAAAATTTCTTCATTTCATTGCTGACCCGCCACAACCAAAATAATTCCCTCCTCCTTATCCAACGAACAGTTCGACCTCCGAGCTCCCAATTTTCCTCCTCACCACCATGACAGTTCCGCCGTATCAGGTTAAAATATTCAGCTATTTGATTAATTTTTATTGGGTTTTAGTTAATTTTTTTTAGTTTTTATTTTATGAATTTTTAACGATCAGAAATGATGGGTTGAACAATTATATTTTTTTACGAATTAGAGTCATATGGGATCTCTTAGAACTTGGAAAGATCACAACTTTGATGGAACTGAAATTTCCATTTTTTATTTTGTGGGTTAATTCTTGAGTTAGCATTTGGAATTAAGCTCTTGGTTTGAACTTGAAGCTTCTGGTTGTTGATTTGGGTATTCTGCAATTGTTATAAGCTGAGTATGTGGTTGTGATTTCTAATTTTGGACTCGGTTTAACGGTTGCTATTGTTTTGCTGATGTCCTGCAGATGATGTTAAGAATAATGAGAGGACGAATTACTTCAATTGCCCTGCATTGGATGTCTCAGTTGCTTTTCCGCAAGCAACGCCGGCTTCTACTTTTCCTCCCTGCAGTAAGAACATTAACCCTCATTATATACTTGATATCGTATGGATAAACTTGTATGTGTGTCTATGGAGAAATTGTCTTTTGTAAAACAGTTCAGGATTTCCTCTTGTTATGTAACTTATGTGAATCCAGGCTATTGATTCGAATTTTTGGGATTTGCGTATTCATCTTGTCTCACTTTTTGCATTCTGGTTTGTTTTTACTTTGTTTCTTTGTGAATATTTAGTACATTGCTCGTGCACATCTTTAGTTGTTGTGATTTTGATTTGTAATTTGAAGAAACGGGCAACTTCAGTAATTAACTTCCATATTCTTATCTCTTGGCCTTAAAAATTTACAGCTTCGGATTATTACCAGATTGATGATCTATTGACACCTGAGGAGCAGGCTATTGGCTCCAATTATGGCAGAGGTATCCTTTTTGGTCTAACCATTTCTGCATTTCATATTAAGGCTAAAACAGTCAATATTTAATTATTTAATATACATTCGTAAACAATGAGATTGATCTGCGAACTTGTTTTTTCCATCAGCTTCGAGGTCGAGGACCAATGAAGGGTCAACAACGTCCATGACATGGTTGGGCAAAGCCATGGCTGCGAATTTGTAAATGCTTAGACCTTCGATGAACATATTATTAGTAGGTGTTTTTCCTGTGAACATTTCTAGCAAAAGTATCCCGTAGCTGTAAACATCTCCCTGTATGGAAACTTGGCCTCCCATGCCATACTCTGCCATGACATACATATAGATAATAAGATGTTACATGCAATTGACTATTAAAATTGATATCTTATTTCAGATTAATGTTACTTGTTTCCAGGAAAAAGAGTCAATAGTATATCTTTAATAAATAGAATTTAATTAATTGGTTTTTAGTAATAAGTTAATAATTAAGAACCGAAAAAATAAATTAGAATGATGGAAACTCATACCTGGAGGAATGTAACCTATAGAACCTTTTAGTTGCGATGACATTGTTTGACTGAGGGAAGGATCATTTGATGCTTCCAAGAGGAACCTTGCTAAACCAAAGTCCCCAACATGGGCTACCATGTCTTCATCAAGAAGTACATTGCTCGGCTTTAGATCACAATGAACAATGGACGTTTCACAATGGTTGTGGAGGTTATCTAACGCAGAAGCAACATCAATGGCTATGTTCAATCTTTGCATAAAATTCAATCTCTTACTTGGAGATTGCTCCTCATCTCTAGGATGCAACCACGAGTCAAGACTTCCATTTGGCATGAACTTGAAGACTAGACTTTTGAAGTCTTTACCATGATTATCAATGCTCGAGCATGCAGTTATGATCTTGAGAAGATTTATGTGCCTGACACTTCTTAAAGCTTTGCATTCATCGTTGAAACTCTTGGACGCTCCTTGTTGTTGAAGGTTTAATACCTTAACAGCAACTACCGTTCCATCGCTAGGAATTACCCCTTTATAAACAGAACCAAAACTTCCCGAACCAATCAAATTATCCACCAAGAAACCATTAGTTGATTCAACAAGTTGTGAGTAGGAAACACCTAATTTCCAATCCTTATAAGAACGTGAAGTTACAAGTCCTTCTCTCGACTTTTTCAGCATTGAACGAGCACTAAAGAAGCATGATAGAGCAATTATGAATACAAGTGCACAAGATATAGGGATGACTACTTTTGGGGAAAGTAGTCCTCGAGATGAATGGTGTTTGTTTTTGGGGCATGCAGGTAGATGTAATTGTGGGATGCCACCACAGAGCCTCTAATTTCCAAGAACCGAGACACCACTGACATTTGAAAAAATTCCTTCTTTAGGCAACTCGCCTTCAAAATCATTATAAGAAAGATTGAGATACTTAAGTGCTCCAAGCTTGCCTAAGAATTCAGGAATCTGCCCGAATAAGTTATTGCTTGAAATGTCAAGTTCTTCCAAGCCCTTTAAATCTTTAAGAGACTGAGGAATTGTTAGTAAACTTATCACCCGCATATTTTTGTATTGAGTTAGTAAACTTTCACGAGCCGGAATACGATACCCGGTTTGTACCCGGCGATCCAAAGCAGGCTCCTTTCGTAGGAAGTATACCACGTCGGCGAGAAAACCAGTAAAACATCCCGCTGTCTAAGTCGCGATTTCTCGTCGTAATACTGCTGGTAATGGAAGAGAACCCGAGACACCAAATCTCGGAGGTCTTCATCTCGGGCCTCGTCGATCGTCTGCTGGGCCGATAAGAGCTCATCGAGGAAGTGTTCTTGCCAGACCAACCAGCCCTTGTAGAATGCCTCGAATGTGTTCGACGCATTGCCGCTGTGAGAACCGTTTGTCATAACCAAAACAAAAACAGCAAAGCTTTTTGGGGTTTTGATGGCAACGAAAAACAGAGAGAAGGGTGGGATTAAATAGGAGGTGGGATTCGAAAGGTGGGGGATTTGTTTTGGGATTTTGGTTTTTGATTTGCTTTGTGGGCAAGTAATGCTAATGGGTGAGGATACTTCGAGAGCAAGGTTCATGCATTTTGTTTTTCAGAGAGAGAGAGAGAGAGAGGAAAACAGAGGAGGTGAGGATCAGACGGAGACGCGTGTGCAGGTGGACGCCATTAAAGAGAGAACAAGAGAGAGGAAAGAGGGGGGGGGAATGTATATAACTGAAAGATCTCGGTGGGTTTTGTCTCGTAGTGAAGCCAGAAGAGTATGAAGAGATAAAATAGATGAGGGTTTTCGTTTGGGGCTGCCCGGATGAGGGGGCAACACGTCTCGAGGCTGCCAAGTAGAGGGATTGTGTGAAGCCAAGTCATCGTTTTTGGGTTTTTGGGGTGGTGGTGGGGAGGTTAAACCTTCGGGGGAGGGATGTCTTTCTAAATGGGCAATGTTTGCATTGGTGCAAGCGGGTGGAAGTTGTTAAATGGCTTAAGTACAAAAGAAGTGTGAAGGATGGATGCTTTGGTTGTCATTTGTTGGTTCGGCGTGAACTGGACTATTTTGATGAGACGAAACTCATTTTTCAGTTGTACTTTAGGGTATACGTACTTACTTTTCGGATGAGTTAACAAGGGATTATGTTACCTTTTTATTCCTTACATTTTATTAAACTCATGATGTTAAGAGTGAGAATTATACTCATACTTGCATTCTCGTTCTTGGTAAGTAAACAGACAACTATTGAGTTGGATAGCGGTTAACCATATTGTTCTTCCATACAATAGTATACAATTTACTTGAGGTAGCATTTATGTTGCATGAAAGACTCATCTAAAGGGGATAATCTATTCTTAGGGAGGGGGGCTAAATGAACTTTTTGGATACAACATTATTTTGCATTTAAGTAGCTAATTTAGGCCACACAATGGGTTAACCAGTTACTAGATATTAAACTCAACACATAAAATAATATGTCCTCACTATTAATGTGAATCAAACCCGGGACGACGAACTTACAAATGAAGATCAATACTGCTTCATCGTATCACTAGTTAGACTAACTTGAACTTGATCTCAATTTGTTTCCCAGTCCTAGTCACTAAACTAGTCACTAGCGAGTGTGATGAAACTAATAAAGTGGGGTGCAGCTCCAAGCGATTGCTGATTGCAGTGAAGTTGAAGGTAGGTGACAAATTTGCCTAGACTTTAATTGACGGGAGAATTTGGCTACCATGAGAAATGTTCAGCAAACAAGCTGCTGCGCTACTTGAATTGAGAAAATTGGTTTACGACGTGTACCAATTGCTGCAAGTGATCACCTTTTAGGAGGAAAGGGATATCTTGGTGTTGTCTATTGGCATTTTTGACCAGCCAATGATGCTTGTGGTGGCTTCTATGTGGCACAGAGATAAAAAAAAAACTCGTTTAGAAGTGCTTTTCAAATAACTGAAAACGTTTTTAGTGAAAATATTTTTGAAAACAGTTTTTAGAAAAAAAACAAGTAAACCTTAAAAAAGTACTTCACGTACTTTTAGAACTCAAAAACATTGTGATTTTTTTAGCCAAAATGGTCCTTTGCAATTTAAAATCAATAAAAGTAATCCATGTGATTGTCAGCAATTATTTTGGTTTTCCGTGCAAAATCTCACGGAAATTGAAGAAACCACCAGTTCAAGTAAAGGGGTTGATTTGACAAAAATACTTGCAATTTAACTGAGATTTTTCACGAAATGACCATAATGATTGACAATGAGAAATTTTAAGGACCATTTCTATCGATTATAAATCATAGGGACCATAGTAAGGAGTTATGCCAATTTCAAAGACCATTTTAACTAAAAACCAAACATTTTCTCTAAAAACGCTTTCAATTGTGTTAAAACGAATTTGATTCTTCTTATCACCTCAACAACTCAACAAGTCTCAGTTCTTTTATGCATGAAGTGGGAAATCCAATGAGGTTTGAACTTGTGCGGCGACCAACAATAAAACTATTTGTTAATTATTTATCCTCGTTAGTAAATTTGTGTGCTTCTGTTTGTCGTACACGTCATAATGATTCGTTGAAATATACATTTAACAACTCTAATGTACTAAAAACGTATTATACACATACGTACATATTGAAATATATGTTTTCCAATAATCTCGCTCACACAAATGATCTATGTTCTTAAGAAGAGATGTGAATAATATTTTTGTAAATTCACACTTATCTGACTCTTCACATTCCACAGAGCTTGATCGAAATCTGAATGGCTGGATCATCTAACAAAGGTGTTCATTTGTAGACCATAAGTTTTGAATCGCATAGTAATGGGGTCCTTTCTTTTAACTACCCTAATCTCGGGGGCAAAGGGTAGGACGCACTACGTAGCCAAAATCATTAAGCGGGGCGTACTCAATTGAGATTTTGAAAGATTTCTAAGAGTATAGCATCGACTTATTGAGCAATCTTTAGCATGAAGTCCCCTTCAGTGGAAGATAAAAAGGAAATGCCAAGTTCATCTACTGAATCTTAAATCAAATATGAAATTGGATTAACAAAGCTCTAAGAACAACGAGGAGTTCAAACATCCATAGATGCATGCCACATACAAAGATTACGAGTGAGAATTATGGAAGTCATTAATTCCTTAACTAGACTAGCCACAGAATGAGAGTAGGTTGGAAACGTATCGAACGAGAAAGTACAACAGTCAAACATACAAGCAGCAACAAGCAAGTTTCCTAAGAAAAATACCTGATTAGAATATTGGTGAAGTCTCGATGATGAACAAAACAAAATGATTTCCAGAAGCTAAGCGAAACATGATCTGTTTTTGCAACTATGCACAAAAATAATAAAAGTGGTTTACTTTTGTCACACTAATTCATCAATGCAAAGCAGTTCATTGCCCCATAACTCCAATATCAAAAAAACCCAAAAAAATCAAAATTTTTTAATTTCTAATTACTCTGTCAACTTCTGGGTGCTTCCGATGTTTGCCTAATTCCCATCTCAGAAAACAAATTGTGGGAATTACAGATGCTGTGTAAATAGATGAAACGATTAATAAATTGAACAGAACAGGAACCCTAAAACAAGTAATCGAATGCGCATTCGACTAGAAATTTGAATTTTAGATGGAGATAATCAAAATACAGCAGTAGTTTTCTACATATGCGAGAACTAGAGAGGAACAAAGAGAAGCGAAAAGAGAAAAGCTTACTGAAGATAGCTGGAGAGGACTCGGATGAAGGGATGCTACTGTAAGAGGGGATCGGAGCGATTGGGGGAGCTGGGCTTGGCTGACATAAGGGTAAATGGAGAGATTTTGACTCACGATAAAAACGAATTTCAATCACATTATCGTTAAATACTTGATCCACTTCTCTATTGATAATATCATTTGTTTAAAAAAATTCATATAACAAAATTTGTTTTTCTTATTTACCAATTTTATGTTGTGAAGGGGGACGACCTGTTATAATAAAATAAAATTATTTGCGGAAAACATATTTTGAGGCATGCTATCTTATTTATTTGCCTATAAAATCAACTCAATCAAATGTTTTAAAAAGAACACGACACAATATAGAAATTCATGTAAGCGATATCAAGGCTGGAGAGAAGAAAAAAAAAGTGAGAATTATCTTTATATGCCTATTATTTGACATAATGAAAGCCTAAAAACTAAATTTGCAGTATCAATTTCTAGTTAAATCTTGACTCTTCTTGTCTATCTCTTTGAGTGTTTGGAATTTGTTTTAGGAGTGTGCAAAACTTGGATAAACAATAGGCATAATGTCGGGCTTAAATGTATCCGCAAGGCTTATTCGCATATCCCTTTTGCACATTGTATGTCGGGGCAAATAGATTATTAAAGGCAACATATTTATACGTGCCTTAAAGCAATCTTTCATCCTTCGTCACAACCATAACCCACATGCTACCAAAAAAAATCCAACAAAACTTGTGTAGCACATGCAACCATCTGGGAAGAAATATGAGACTGAAATGTTATAAACTGCTTTAGCATTGAGTTTATCAAATTCTAAACAGGATAGACATAACCAAGACAATTACAAATAGCTCCACACAAATAAGATTTTGAAAGCTTCAAGTCATACAAATGAAAACTTCGTCCCTATAAAACAACCGCTAACATAAAAGAGGCAAGGTTCAAAGCGATGGCAGGAAAGGTAGAGAAAAACAAGAAAAGAAAAACCACAAGCAGCATATCTTTGCCATTCTTTAGCCTTCTTGAACTTTGAGGTACAAGTCTCTAATTGCACTCATTTTTCCAACAACCATATTCAGAAGCATCCGTTCCTCTGGTGATACTGCACAGCAGGAAAGTCCTATATGCATCACAGCAAACAAGCATTCCTCTACCTTTTTTGCTTTCACCATTCCGCGATTGTTACGTCTGGGTAGTGCAGTCATTTCGTATCTGTCATCGTTAACACTACCATCAGCTTTGAGGTTGAGGAGCAATGAAGGATCAACAACGTCCATGACATGGTCGGGCAAAGCCATGGCTGCGAATTTGTAAATGCTTAGACCTTCGATGAACATGTCATCAGTAGGTGTTTTTCCTGTGAACATTTCTAGCAAAAGTATCCCGTAGCTGTAAACATCTCCCTGTATGGAAACTTGGCCTCCCATGCCATACTCTGCCATGACATACATATAGATAATAAGATGTCACATGCAATTGACTATTAAAATTGATATCTTATTTCAGATTAATGTTACTTGTTTCCAGAAAAAGAGTCAATAGTATATCTTTAATAAATAGAATTTAATTAATTGGTTTTTAGTAATAAGTTAATAATTAAGAACCGAAAAAATAAATTAGAATGATGGAAACTCATACCTAGAAGAATGTAACCTATAGAACCTTTTAGTTGCGATGACATTGTTTGACTGAGGGAAGGATCATTTGATGCTTCCAAGAGAAACCTTGCTAAACCAAAGTCCCCAACACGGGCTACCATGTCTTCATCAAGAAGTACAATGCTCGGCTTTAGATCACAATGAACAATGGACGTTTCACAATGGTTGTGGAGGTAATCTAACACAGAAGCAACATCAATGGCTATGTTCAATCTTTGCATAAAATTCAATCTCTTACTTGGAGATTGCTCCTCATCTCTAGGATGCAACCACGAGTCAAGACTTCCATTTGGCATGAACTCGAAGACTAGACTTTTGAAGTCTCTACCATGATTATCAATGCTCGAGCATGCAGTTATGATCTTGAGAAGATTTCTGTGCCTGACACTTCTTAAAGCTTTGCATTCATCATTGAAACTCTTGGACGCTCCTTGTTGTTGAAGGTTTAATACCTTAACAGCAACTACCGTTCCATCGCTAGGAATTACCCCTTTATAAACAGAACCAAAACTTCCCGAACCAATCAAATTATCCACCGAGAAACCATTAGTTGATTCAACAAGTTGTGAGTAGGAAACACCTAATTTCCAATCCTTATAAGAACGTGAAGTTACAAGTCCTTCTCTTGACTTTTTCAGCATTGAACGAGCACTGAAGAAGCATGATAGAGCAATTATGAATGCAAGTGCACAAGATATAGGGATGACTACTTTTGGGGAAAGTAGTCCACGTGATGAATGGTGTTTATTTTCAGGGCATGCAGGTAGATGTAATTGTGGGATGCCATCACAGAGCCTATGATTTCCAAGAACTGAGATAGCACTGAAATTTGAAAAAATTTCTTCTTTAGGCAACTCGCCCTCAAAATCATTATACGAAAGATCAAGATACTTAAGAGCTCCAAGCTTGCCTATGAATTTAAGAATCTGCCCCGATAAATTATTGCTTGAAATGTCAAGTTCTTCCAAGCCCTTTAAATCTTTCAATGACTGAGGAATTGTTCCTTTAAATTTGTTGTCGTCCAAGTACAAGCGCTCCAAACTAGCACAACCGCCGAGGGTGCTGGGGATATCACCTGATAACTTGTTGTTTGATACATCTAGTTGTGTGAGATGCACCAAATCCCCCACTTCACTTGGCAGTGAACCAGTCAAAAAATTATTAGACAGGTCCAAAGAAATTGAAAGGGTTGAAAGCTCCATAAGCTTTTTAGGTTTGCTGCTCGTTAGATTGTTATTATGAAGTGAAAGCAATAACAGGTTCGGGCAGTTTCCAAGACTTGGAGGTATACTTCCCTCAAAACTGTTTCTCTCCATGCCGAGCTCTATCAATGAAGTCATATTACCAAGGGACAATGGAATTGGCTCGAAAAATTTGTTACCACCCAAGTATAGTTGCCCTATCTTCTCGAGCTTCCCGATTTCTTCAGGGACAACACCCGTCAAATAGTTACCAGACACCTCTAGAATGATAAGGTTGATAAGATTTCCAATGCCGTTTGGGAGGCTTCCATGTAACAAATTTCCCCCCATAGCAAGAACTTGTAGTTGGGTTGAAAGGTTGGCTATGGATTTTGGGACTTCTCCTCCAAAACGATTATTGCTAAGACCCAATCTTTGAAGACTAGTACAATTAGTTAAGAAATTGAGAAAACTCATATCACCATGTTTTCCATTTCCCAATCGATTATTTGCAAAGTTTAGCCAAATTAAGCTTCGCAAGCTTCCGAGACTTTCTCCGGGATTGTCCCCTTTAGGTCATTAGAAGAAAAATCAATCTCCTGAAGTCTAGAAGCATTTGACAATGATACAGGAATATTTCCAGTGAAATTATTCGTATCACAGTAAAATTATACGAGATTAGGAAGCAAGATGCCGAGATTTGGTGGTAGCTCTCCATGTACTTGGTTTTTAGCAACACTGAATATGTATATGGAAGAAATATTATAAATTGAAGAAGGGAACATACCAGACAAATTATTCTGCCCAACTGCAAATTTCTTCATGGTTATTATATGCCCGAGCTCATTTGGTATGCTTCCTTGAAAATTGTTGCGGCCAAGATCAAGACGACTCAAAGAAGAAAAGTTTCCTATCCAACCTAGGATGGTTCCACTGAGATTATTACTTCTAAGACGTAGAGCAGTTAAACTCAACCATGAACTCAGTTGGAGTGGAATCGACCCAATAATCTTATTGGAAAAAAGATCGAAAACTCTTAGTTGTGTACAGTGGGACATATTAGTCGGAATTTTCCCACCTAAAGAATTCAAAGACAAGTTGAGACTTTCCAGGGTACGTAGACGACCCAATTCTTTAGGAATTTCACCATGAAATTTGTTGCTTCCCAAGCTTATTTTGATTAGATGAGTAAGATTTCCAATGGAAGGTGGAATGGAGCCTACCAATTGTTTATCTTCGAGGTCCAGAATCAAGACTCTTTGGGTGGCATGGTGGCATGTAATGCCTACCCAGCTGCAGAAGTGGATGGAATGATTCCACGAGCTCATGACACTGAGGGGATCTTCAATTATTCTTTTCTTGAAGTCTAGCAAGGCCAAGTAATCAGATTCGTTTCCAAGCAAGGTAAGGGCTGGGAAATGCTGCAGATTCTGGACATGTGCTCATCATGCACAAGACTAAGAGAATGATGCCACGCAGGAATTTCAACAACAACAGATTACGAATAGTACGCGAATGCTCCATCATTGTTCAGAGACAAATGGAAAACCAGAAAACCAAAGTTTAATTTGCACAAAAGCACAAAAGAGAAAATAATTGTTTTTTTTCCCCCTTAGTGTGATACTAGCTAGCAGGTAATTGATTTCTTAGTCTTCGCTATCCATGATAACATCCACTAAATCATTATGTTCTATCATTTCATTTCAACAATTGGACGAGAATTTTAAATTGTAATTAATTGTTTCTTTCTATTCATTATAAATTGTAATTACTTTTTTTTTTTTTCCTTAGTGTGGTACTTGCCAGCAGATAATTGATTTCTTAGTCTTTGCTATCAATGATAACATCCACTAAGACATGATGTTCTATCATTTCATTTCATCAATTTGACGAGAATTTTGAAATTGCACCCAAACGGTGGTGACTTGGAGTTAATGGAAGACTCCCAATTTCGAGTTCAATCTTTTATCCACTCTTAAACGTTGTTAACTCACTTGAAGCCATTCTTCATTCCATTTAATCACATCAAAACCTCAACTTAGTTTTGGCAATATGTGATGTGAATTCCGGCCATAAATTTGACAAGACTGCCGGCATTCATGAGGTAGTTTTGGCGGGACTTGGATCCTCTCCTGAGCCTAAGGAGAGGATCCTTCTGACCAAATGACTTGAGCCGTTGGGTTTCCATCCAACGGCTACAAACAGAGAGGTCCCTTTAAAGTTATAATAATTATAGCTGTTGGATTTTCATCCAACGGCCCAAATCCTTTGGTCAGGAGGATCCTCTCCTTGGGCTCAGGAAAGGATCCAAATCCGTTTTGGCGGGCATCAGTAACCACGTTGCAAGAGGCAAGTGAGAGAATTTGCTGACTTTTCATCATAATTACTATTTTTTTTTTAACCTTATTTCAGTGGGCCGATTCTTTTATGGATTAAGTACCTATAAGCACTTAACCGGTTAGAGTCATTCCAAATCGATTTCAACTTTTTTAAATATTCCAAACAAGTACCAAACCTATTGAAAATGTCACATCCGTTAAGCCCTAGTTGAAACTATGTTAAATTAACTAAGAGTTACTTTGTCTCCAAAATCAATAGAAGGTCATGAAAGCATAACATCCACCACCAGCCCCATCATGCCATCACCTCCAAACCTAACACAAAACCACTAACTCCACTCTATAACTCTAACCTGCCAACATCAAGAAGAAGGTCGTGGATGTTGCTAAAATGGTATGAACTGTCATGATGCAGCCACTACCATCTTAACTACCCGCAAAGAAGAACTGAAAGCTTTACGAGCCGAGAATCAGCGTATGAGGAAATCAAATGAGCGGAAACAAGCTCCTTGAAACTTTATCTGAATTCTTAACCCTCTTCTTTGTTAGAAAATTGTCCTCCTAATATAATTTCAATTTGAGTCCATTTTCGATTCAATTCAATATTCTTTTGTTCATTGGATTCCATATTTACATAATCCATGTTTGAAATTCAAATTTTGAGGCGACTAATATTAATGTTGACCATGATATACCTAATTGGTGGATTTTGAACATAATATATGTTTGAAAAATTAACTAGGGCTTAACAGATGTGACATTTTTAATAAGTTGGGTACTTATTTGGAATGTTTAAAAAGGCTGAGACCAATTTGGAATGACACTAAAAGATTAGGGGGTTTTAGTCACTTAATCCTTCTTTTACTTATTTTCATTTCCTTTTAACATTTCTATACAAATTCAAGTGGAAAGTACACGTGGATAGCAAATCATTGCAGACTGGCTTTCTTCTTTTTCTTTTTCAGAGAAACCCTAGACGGTACAAGGAAATTTTTATAGAATAAAAAAAAAGAAGTTACACTTAGTCATAAGGACATAGACCTCACATATCATACTACAAGAAGAAATGTTAAAAAAATCAAGAAAAAATGGGGGCATAAACTTGAGTCTTCTTAAGAAAACAAATAAAAAGACAAGAAAAAGGGGGGACGTTAAGCCTAATTCCTCTAAAGAAAAACCTAGAAGGTCTATGTCGTATAAAATGGATAGAAAAAAAAACCAAAAACAAAAAATAAAAACAAACATCATGTAGGAGGATAAACCTATAAATCGGAATGCACATTATATTGATTTGAGTCTTAATTGTAAATATTCTTAGAGTCTTGTTTTAGGTAGGATTAGTAGTTTTAGCCCGCGCATTGCTGCGAGAATGTCAAATGAATTATAAGTATTGTATATAAGTATCAAAATATTGGACTAAATGTGTTGTAAGCATTGTGCGTAGATAAGTAGGAACTATCTACATACAACATCAATGTTAAAAAACTAAGGACAAACTCTGTCATGATTGAGACTATATCTTATGAACATAAAGAAAGAACAACATCTAAGAAATCAAAAAATTTCTTAGTCAATACTTGTTCTCTTTATATAAGAAGAGATATCATGCAATAAACAACCTTCACTAAAAAAAAAAAAAAAAAAAAAATGAGTGTCAACGAAGATATTAGACCCTAACCTTAAAAGGGTCTCCTCCACCGCCCAAAATCTCCACACCAAAACAGAAAATTTCAGTGTTTTCAAACAAACCAACAAAAAGAATCTACCAACAGATTAATATTTTGCAACACAATCTTTTAGATCTTTCAAGTATAATATTTCATACAATATATACAAGCACATAATTTGACTTTATAACATAATCTTGCATGTCTAAACTTAGTTTTCATATGTATACAAATATATATATAACCACATAAGCATAGGCTTAGGAGCAAAAAGGTAGGGGGGTTGTAGGGTAATTTGAATTCATCGGTTGCTTTTGGTGGCCTTAAGACAATGCAAGCATTCATAAATGTTTGAACATGATTATCATTTTCTCATACTGCGTTTATATGGTTATTTCTAGTCAGGGTTTGCAAAATTAACAACGATCGAAAGATGAGTTTAACCTGCATCAGCAAATACAAAAGGACATTGTAAGTGTTTGGTCCAGTTGAAATCATGTTACCTTTGGAGTAAATTCAAAACAATTTTGATTTGTTTGGATTGCATAAGATTATTAAAAGATAAAAAAAAAACAAGCACTAAATGCTACGAGCATTGGATGATCTGGATTAATGGGACCACAATAATAACTAATTCAAACCAATACAGACAATCCAATGCTCGTAGCATTTAAAGCTACATAGCATAAAAGAATTTTCCCTTTTAATACCCATAATAAGTACAAAAATTTAATGAAAATTGTATCTTAAGGGTGATTTTGTATAGAATCAATAAAAAGTTACAATATTTATGTTAATTATAAATAGGTTAATTGTGATACCTTAAATGCATTTAAAATAAGCAAAAAAATTACAAAATCTTCCATTACAGCTGACACTCACTTCAATTAGCACCCCTTTTCTCATATTTTTATATATTTTAGAATAGGTCAATACAGATTTAGACACTGCAAGGAAGTTTTTGTTTCCTGATTCTGTTTTTTACATTTGGATTCTGACGCTGCATTGTAGTATTTGTTTCCTAGTTTCCCTTTTTCATCACTCACACCTCATATGCTTCAAACCTCATGCGACTCCTGATTTTTACATTTGGATTTAGACATTGCAATGCATTGTCCATTCATGATTCTAAATTGTAGACCATAGAACTGTGTGATCTCTCGTCTCATTGTCACACTCTTGGCAAGCTCCTCTACTTAACTAGACCAGCTCTCATTTCAGTGATGGCTTGGACAAAATTTAATCTTTTGTAACATATTTGTTCACCGAATCAGGACCTCTATATGTTTCCTATGTCTTGGTAGTCTAGCCAACTCCGCCCTTTTCCAATAACCATTTTTGATGTCTATGGAAAATACAGAAGTAGACTTTTTCGTAATTTCCTTTACATATGCATTATGGAACCAAACTCAAGATGACCCTTGACC